TCCTTCCTGGTGTCATGAAGGACTTGAACCTTATAAGCAAAAATCTGAAAGTTGTGAAGGTTAAAGTCAGTGATGATGAATTTGCAGAGGTAACACTGCTAGATGACTGAAATAACCATAAACGGCACACAACTGATCTTAAGAATCAGAAGTGTTCATGCAGAGAATGGCAGATAACTGGCAAGCCATGCAAGCATGCCTTGGCTTGGATCTTGTCGAATAGAGGTATGCAGGTAGCTGACTTTGTGCATGATTATTACTCTGTTGCTAAGTTCAGAGCTTCCTATGAAGGTAGAGTAGAACCAATGCCAGACAGATCCCAATGGCCAGAAATTGATCTTGGGTACAAGGTTTTCCCACCATTACTAGGAAGAGCAGCAGGTTGGCCAAAGGTCGTGAGGCAAAGAGGGTGCCTAGAGAAAAGGGCCAAAAAAAGAAAGTTAGATGTAAAAGGTGTGGAGGTTTTGGCCATTTCTCCAAGACTTGCAAGCTTGAAATGGTTGGAGAGGACGGTGAGACTGCTAGCACAAATAAAAGGTTAACATTAATTTCACTGATCTTCTGTCATTTGTATTCTTTTCATTTATCATGGCACGTAATTGGAATATGTGTGTATACAGGAAGAGACCACAAGATGATACTGCTGGACCATCGAAGGTGAAGAAGAATAAAGCACTAAAGAAGAAGAAAACCCCTAAGAAGAAAAAAAAACACCACTGAAAAAGAAGCAGAAAAAGGATGCTGCTGCTCCTCCAGCAAGGGTTGTGAGAAGCCTGATGGACCTCATCTCTGATGGACAGTGAGACTGTGATGGTTGTGATTGCCTTTGAACTTATTTTGTAGTCTCTGGTAATGTAATGCCTGTGATGGCTTATCACCGGCTAGGTGATGGCCTAGAGGTTTATGTAGTGTTTCTGGATGTCTTTTAGTTGCCTGAGATGGCCTATGCATTGGATCAGTACTTCTGTGATTACCTATGTAATGACTTGTCAAACTTGTGAACTTGAACAAGCGGAAACTGGATGCTTTTTCTGAGTGCCTTTAATTGCCTGTGCTGCTTGTAAACTTGAACAAGCTTGAATGCTTTTGTAAAGCAATGCTATTGTTAGTAAATTTAGTTTTCAGTTTGTGATGTTTCAGTTTCCTTGGAATTATGCACATAGTGCAGGCAACAAACATAGATTCCAGTTCACCCTCTTTGCGTACAAAATGCTTCCTAATTGACTACTTCCATACAATTGACTAATTCCATATCTTGCTCATAATACAACCCAAAGCTACACCTACACACACTGCCACTATCACAACATAATCCGTTTGCACCCTCTGTACTTGCAACTTCAGTTCCAACATGTCCTTCATGGCACTGTCAATTTTCTTGTTCAGTGCCTCCATCTTTTGCTTCATGTCCACAATGCGGTCGACAGAACCACCTTACGGTCTCTAGACCTGGGAGGGATTACCTTCTTCCACCGAGTTGGGAGCTGCTCAGGGTTGCGTAAGTATGCAACATATTGCGCCTCCGACATGATGATGTCACAAGTTGTTGGGTCATCCTGCATCCCATGAAACCCTAGGCCGCATGAACACCAACCAAAAACTCGAAATCGAACACAAATTGACTTACTTTGATGTTGTTAGGGCACTTCACGAAGCTTTGGCCATAAGTGGCCCGCTGCTTGCTTATGATCCGCACGAGCTGGACGCGGCAATCCGGACACTCCACGAGTGGGGGCAACGACGCGCTCTGCGTCGAGCTGGAGCTGGTTGCTAGCGGTGGCCTAAACTAGTTGCCACTCATCCTCGACAATGGCCGGTGGCGAAGGCAGGCCGGCGTCCGCGGGAGAAGAGGCACGCCGCAAGGGCAGGCAGGCGACGACGGCAATGGCGTGCGGGAGAATGAGGAAGGAGAAGGGAGAAGAATGGACGCCGGCTGCTCTGCCTTATCCAATTGAACAGGGGCAATACGGTCCTATACGAGAATACGCCGTCTGCCAGTGGGCCCAGCTTCGCGGGAGACGTAGATCAGGACATGGATGTGTTGTATCAAGAGTTGTAATGGCAAGTTTCCAATAAGAAGACAGTAACGGCGTTCTTCAAAACTTGAGAAATTGTAATAGCAAGAATCCAAATATCCCAAAAAAAAACCAAAATGTACATCTGGGAGTATGTAATATTACCAGTGAAGGAGAACCTTGGCCGTACTGCTTTCGGTGTGTTCAGGCAACAATATTGACCTTTGCAATGAGCTCATTACTGTTATAACTTATCTGCATGCATCCACATTTTGATCATAATAAATAAGAGTATAAGATGATTCAACAAGAATCTAATGACACTGATTTTATTATATTACAAAATTTATTTTATAATAAAGTAATTGTTTGTCGAAGCTGATCCTAACAAAACAAAATATGCTTACCATTCACTAAGAGGGAGTAGTGTTATTTACCTATGATGCTAAGAGCATCTCCGAGCTCACTCGCTAAATCATAATTTAGGGCCATTTATATAAACATCGTTTTCTATATCTGTACACCTCTATAGAAATCATTTCAAAGTTAGCCCCACATTTCATCTTTGCTAGGAAGAAATTCGGAATAGAGAATAGCTATATATATATAGTGATTTAATTAAATAAGCTGCTGGAGGGTCTTTTCTTACTAATAAAATCTCTATTTCTATTAATTAAGAAAGATAAGGAGGCTCTTGGAGTTTCTCTAAAGAGCCCAAATCTATCTTAACTGAAACCTATCTTGACTTAATGATGATACTATGTACAAATAGTAGAACAGGTTAAGATTAAGAGTCCACAAATTTACACCACGGGACGACAGGTGGTTCTCATTGAACTCAGCTCATTCGTCAGAACTTTCAAAAAGCGATTTTGAATCTCAATTTTTGCGGTAAAGTACAACTATGGATGTGCCAAGTCATATTTTTTCTTGAAAGCTTCTAGGTACATTTTTTTTCAGGAAATCACAACGTTTTCAATATATATATATATATATATATATATATATATATATATATATATATATATATATATATATATATATATATATATATATATATATACTCTTCTAGTGTGGCTTGGCTTGGCTTAGCTGCGATGGAACGCATTGCACAACTGGCCATTGAGATCTATCTACACATCTGATCATCTGATCACAAAAAACATGTCGTTTGAGATAATATCTAGTTAAATATAAAATCTATAAATATCAATAAATACCAATGTTTTCCTAAACGGTAAACGGTCTTTACACGGTCGCCCTTCGTTTAGTGTTTAGGCTGTTTACACTGTATTTAAACGAAGTTAAACGGTTTTATACTTTAAAAAAATACATATAATTATATATGTGCATGTAAAAAATTAAGTATTCTAGCATTTATATATATTTATCCGAGTAAAAATCAATTATTTTGGTATGTATATATATTTATGCATGTGAAAAGAACCAAATATAGATATTTATGCATGTAACATATCAAGTGTACACATTTATAGATATAATAAACTTAAGTATACAAATTTATCTATACAAAACTGAACTAGATTTACCTCGTGTTCGCCTAAACAGCCGTTTAGCCTGTTTAATGCTGTTTATCTCCGTTCCGTTTAGACCGTTTTTCCTGTTTTTTGACCGTTTAAACGGTCAACCGTTTAATTTTCGTTTATCCCCTAAACAAAACAGTTTACCACTGTTTACCGTTTACTGGCCGTTCAATCGGCTGTTTAGGCCGTTTAGGCGAACACTGATAAATACTCTACGGCTTAGTTTCGAAATATGCAAGATATATGTATAAATTTTGTATTCACAATGCTTGCAAAAATCTCACATTTAAATGATTTTAAAAATACATATTAGAAGAAGCCAGTAGTAAAAAATATGCATCAAAGATCGTACAAGTCAAATGTGTATTTTTTACTGGAGGCAGTACCTGTTAGCATCTTGCTCTCGTAAAAGAAATCTTGATTGCCTACTCAATTATTAACATCTTCAATGATGACTTATAAGTTATCTCTAAACATATTATTTCATTTTTATAGAAGAGAGACAAAACTATCTCTTAATCAAGAGTTAGTCTCATACACATACTCGATGATCATTGGAGACTATTCATATTATAAGCTATATGTTAAAAGTTAATGTCATAGATAGAGCTAGTAACTGGCTTCTACTGCAGATGGTGCCCTAATGGGTGTTTAAACGTGCGATGGCATTGTGGGATAGTAGTTACAGTTCCAGCAGCAGCCCACGAAAATGTTTCTAGCTTTTCATTATAGTCCTGAAATGAACTTTGTGACTATCAGTACAACTGGAAGGGTATAATTTACAAATGAAACTGTTACAGATACTGTTTACATGTCTCAACAGAAAATTTGTGTCATTCACTGAAATCATAGAAAACTTTGTAAGATACTGTATGCATTTTCTTCAAGTGCCCGCTTGCCTTTTATCATGTACTTCAACTTGAAAGTTGGTCCAGTTGCTAAAACAAAGCTATTAGAAATGGTTACTGAACATGATTTGCAGATAAAAAGACAGCAAAATCAATAAGACAACTTCTCACTATTATTTCCCTCAGATCAATCTTTTTAAATACTTAACTCAGAATTCTCTTAAGCATTAATGATTTTCCAATCTGGCAGGCACCATCAGAAGAATCATGTCCTTAACTTAGTTTCTTCTATCTGTTGTCGCAGATTCATAATACTCGAATCATCGCTAGGTTATCCAAGCAATTAGCTTGTCTCTGTAATCGCACTCTACCAAAGCTTGTCTTTGATTAACCTCGACTTGAGACGCTGATCCCATAATGAGATCATTGCCATGGTGACAATTCCAATGAAAACCTCTGGGCATGATCTTAATGCACCAACTGATCAACAAACTATGAGAAAGACAAACTCAGAAGCTCCAGATGATACTCCACACCTATTACTCAAGCAACAGATCAGAGCTAATACCTCATCTACGTCAAACAAGGCTATGTCAAACATGACAAGCATACACCTGTTTCAAGTTTCCTCTAGATGGCCGTGCATTTACAGCAAATTTGCAGATGAATACCAGCCTCTTCCTCATCTCCAACTTTGTGACATCACTTTTGACAAAATAATTTCCATAGTCAAAGCATCCTTGAAAGAAACAATTAGTTATTACTTATTCATTCATGATGCAACCATACTTGACATACTTAAAGTACAGACACAAGAAAGTAGGACCTGAGGGCACAACTACTCATCAACAAATCTAGAACATGCATCATTATGTTTCTTGACATGGCATAACAAAAGTGCATCTGCAGGAACTAATAATCTCAAGCACTAATGCAAATTAGGAAGAGCATCAAATCCTTGTGTAGCAGTTTCGCAAGAGAAGCAACATTATTATGCTTACCGTTATCATCGAATAACAAGGCCAATATTGCCAAGGCCACACAAATACTTATATCTTCTCCTGAAGGGAAGTAAAACAATAAATCAGAGCTCAATTAACCACGGACAGAAATGCAAGAAATCATGACATTCTTATTTGCTGTGCAAGAAAAATAGATGAAATACTGTTTCTTTTTGGTAGGTGAACCTTGTTAACTTACCATTTTGACAGCACACAAGGATTTTTCTCCCAGCAATCAAATTCCTCTTTGAAAAGTCAACTGCTTTTGGAAGGTTTCTCATCAATGAAAATCGGTCATCCTTTGAGCCCTACCAAAATAAGGTCACAGAAAGGTGCGCTTACCACAATAGATAGCTCAAGGTAAGAATTTTCTGATGAATTAGAAGGTAGCTTTGACGTGCTGTCACAGTTCAGTATGCAGTCCACACCAACTAAGGCATCTCCAACTAAACAAAAGGGCATACCAAAATAACTACCATAAAGAGAATAAAGAATTAAATATGAACACACTTTTTTTTTTGAAATAAAAGGCAGAAGCTCTGCCACTCAATTAAGAGAAAGAGTTTAGAGTTTATGTACAAAATATGAATGCTCTTTGCCAGCAAAATGGTAGGCTTAATTTCCTCGCAGAACTAAATTAAGTACATAATTATTATATTGAAGTGACTGCTTGCCACAAAATTACAAAGAATGGCAGATAAAAAAAGTAATCATCTAGACATATATTTGCAAATTTTCATATGACACAACTGACAACAGAACATGCTATACAGAAAATTGCAAGTGCCCAATTAATCACCATACCTTGGAATGTAGATGATACTGCAAGGTTCGATGTTCCAATCCAAAAGAGTGGAAGACCATTATTAGAACATTGTGCATCCATTGTACTGGTACAAGGATCCAAGTTCATAGTCCACATCTCGCTTGTCTGATCATCATTACATTTGGCACCACCAAGGCTCTTCAGAGACTTAGATGTAATTTGAGGACAATGTTCACCTCTCTGTGAACGATAAACCCTATCTTTTTCAACAATATCTGCAACTAACTGGTTACAATGATCTGGTCCAGCATCAAGAAGGTCATATGAATGCTTCCAGAATAAGGTAGGAGTTAGACCACGTGCCCAACTCTCTTCATCGTCTCCTGCTCCAGGAATACAGCGCCAGCTGAATTCTGAAGACATCCTCTGTGTAGCAACTACTTCAGATGCAGATGCGGAAATTAGAATAATAGGAGTGAAATCCCATGACTCAAGCTCCGGCACTTCATTTAACCATATGCGTGTCCTTTGTGAGATCCATAGAGGACGTAGTGGCTTTTGCAAACCTACTGCAAGAGAATGAATATCTGCACCACATGATTCAAATTGGTCTGTCCATTCATCAATACGCCCCTCTATAGCATTTTTCTCAGTGCCTAGAACCCATACAGGAAGGTGCACTGAGCTATCCCAATTAGATAAATCAGAGTTATTTTCGGCATCTCCATTCAGCAGAGTAGATGACTACAAAGAAAAGTGAAATATTATGAGAACAAGTGGACAAAGAAATCAAGTGATTGTTACTTCAGACAAAAACGATAGGAATATAACGGGGATTATGTTATAGACATTGCATAATCCAAGCATCAATTACTAGAAAAAGTACTATAATTTTTATCTGAGATAATATTATTGGCCTTTATTAACAGTATTGTGAAGCATTGCTGAACTAGTGAACTACATAATCCTTGCTTCATTTGCTCCTAAAGTTAAGCTTAACCTAAGGATACAGTAAACAAAAAGAGGCTTCTAATGACATGTTCACAGCGCAGAATTATAGCAGGATTTAGAATTAGTAAGGAATGACCAACCAATTGATAATTCACTTCGACGCTTTTGCGGATAGCACGTGGCCGATGCCTCTCAATCGCTCGGTTCAGGACAGAGCACCAAATGGGTCGCCCTGTTCGCTTGGGCTTGTTTGGCTTATAAGCCGTACTTTTTCAGCCAACGAACAGTATTTTTCTCTCACACCAAATCAGCCAACCGTACTTTCAGCCATGGCTTATCAACCAAACAAGCCCAAACGAACAGGGCGATGGTCTTTGACATGCTATCAGGGAATCGTTTCCCTCTCCTTGTTGAATCAACTATTATGCACCCTCCTCTCTCCCCTGGTCAAAGGAAACAAACGAATAAACTGAGGCTAAATCAAGCTATCACTCAGAAGTTAACGTATTTTGCATTATCCAGGTATATTTGTGCTATTCACTCAAAACAAGGGTGATCTCCAAACACATTGACTCAAATATCCGGATAGTTTACCTAGGATATTTGTGCTTCAGTTCACCCCAAGCTTGTGTTATGAGCATAGAGAAACCAATGAAGCAAAGTTCCTCTGCCTTCTTGGACAGGGAACGAAACTACACTCATAAATCCTAAATTCTGGTTCAAGATTCCTGAAATACCAGAACATATGCTAAACCCTGATTCAAGGTTCCTGAAACGCTTTAACAGTAATATAACTTTACAATTTATTATTATTTTTTGAACAATTATTTCGTTTCATGGAAAAAACCATTGTATTATAGTAAAGTTGAAAGCACCCCCAATTCACAATTCAATCCAAGCAAAGACTACCCGGATCAGCCGTCTCTCGCTTTGAGTAACCACACCAATATTTTTTTCCAGTATACGGAGTAGCAAGAGCCACCAAACTGACCAAAAGATGTACGTAGTACAACACATGTGGTACGCCAAGAATAATAATAAGAGAGAAGCAGCACGCACCGGCGAGGAGGGCGAGGTGGAGGTTGAGGCGGGCAGTGGAGAAGGATCAGTTCCCGGCGTGGCCATCCGTGGACTTGAAGTAGCAGGTGGCGGCGAAGGCACGGGGCAGGGCGTACCAGAGGCCGCAGCGGAGGTTGGCTACCAGCGGCAGCGAGGGCCACAGCGCCGCGACCTCCGCCACGAAGGATGCGTCCTCCGCCACGCTACGCAGCGCGTTGTACAGCGTGCTCGCCCGCCGCTTGATGCGCCGTGCCGCCTGGTAGACGCTCAGCGTCGCCGACAGCGCACTGTCGGCCGCAGCCTCCGGCGCCGCCGCGGCCATGGGGAGAGGAGAGAGATGCGAGCTGCGGTTTTGCGAAGTGGGGGCTGGGAGAAGTCCAAGCCCATGAATTGAATCATCTGATGGGCCGGATTCTAGTTCAATTCAAACTTGTGTCCCACCAACGTGAATCCTCCGGGATTTCGGCCCACGCAAACCAGCATGACAAAAAGGACTGAAATATTACTACTCCATTGTTTTTGTTTCAGAATTACTTCAGAGGTTCTTCTAACCTGCGAATCACTGATGATCTCCTCCAATGTGAAATCACTAAATTTCAGGTGTCATCCATCACCGGTCACCATCAGAGGTGCCAATTTCTGCCGGAGTTAACTGTTTTAAGCAGAAAGCAATCAAGAAGAGCCTCAACGTCATGTGAAATGATAGCGTTTCCACTTTCTGAGGTTGCTGGGAAGTCTTGATCCACATCCAACGCCATCTTTGTACTCCCTCAAAAAATATGTGTCGTTTTCGTTTTCCGAGAAACAACTTTGACAAAATATATATTAAAAAATATTAATATTTATAGTACATAATTGATATCATTGAAAAGATCTTTGAATTTATTTTTTTAATAAATTTATTTGGAGATACAAATGTTGCACATGTTTTCTAAAAAAAATCAAACTTTCAACACGGAAACCAAAAGCGACAGATAATTTAAGACATAGGGAGTATGTTACAGCAAAAATGATAGCGTTTCCACTTTTCTATTGTTCTGGCAATTTGATTTCTCACCAAGTCCAGTCACACATCCATCCGAATTCATGGACACCGCCGAAAATGACAAATAGGAGGGGAGTTGTTGTAAAGTGTTGTAAGAGCATCTCTAAGAGTGCCCCATATCCCTTCTTCATCCATATTTTTTAGAAAAAAAAGAAAAACTTATCTCCAAAAGTACCCATATTCCTTCTCAATCTTTTGATACTTGCAAACGGGCCGCCTCCGCGCGCGCGCATCGGTCTTTCTCCGTGCACGGCACGCGGCATGGACGAAGTACGAACTACCGTAGGCCATGGCGGTGGGCAATCATCAGCAACGCCTCGTCCCTCAGGTCTCTGCCTGTGCAACCCCATGACTAGGGACTGCGCGTTCGTCCCCAACACCACAATCGAGAGCGACCACCGGGAAGTGTGCACGTACGTCCTGCTCACCGGCTACGATCTCTATGGTAGCAGAAGCAACGACGACCTTGCCGTGCGGATACTCGCCGTTGCCGGGTGGGACAATATGTGCACCAAGGAGAACAGAATTAAATACCACCTCTTCTCCTTCACGTCCGGCGGCAGGGCGCAGGGGTTTGGCAGCCGCCTGCTGGGGCATGGGCGCATGGCCGCCGCTTGCTGGCGCATGGCCGAGCAGAGTAGATTTGCATTATCAAATTAAATTAGATTTGATCCCGTGTATATATGTATTAAAGTAATGCTCTTGGCCGGCTGCTCTACTGCTTGCAAGGGACTGTTTGTATGGCACTGTTGGCTGGCGCAAGGTGAAGCTGATACTGGCCGACGAGACGCCGACGATGGAGAAGCGACTCCTGTTTGGCTGTTTATGATCTCGCGCGCTGGAAAAAAACTGACAGCAACAAAATGGTGCACGGGACCAGAATTTTGATGTTTTGGCAGTGAATTATTAGAAACACTTGGAGATAGCCTCATTTGTGTCAGGAAGAGGAGAAGGCTTCAGAATACTGTTGTCGAACCGACAACAGCGGCGGAGGCGGGAATGTAGATGCCTCGTGCCAATAAGACCGCCCGCAACATCACCGGAGGCTACTACCTACCTCGTGGATTGTATGAGCCCATGGAGCCACGTGAGGAGGAACCTCAGGAGTAGGAAGTCGACTCGCCAGCACCTGCACCTGCACCTACGCCTGAGCCACTCCAGGAAGAGCCCGAAGTTGAGGAAGATGTGGATGTCATTGAATTGGAGGATGAGGAGGAGGATGCCGTTCAAGAAGATGACCCGCCCCCTACCATGGGATGGACTACGAAGATCTATTACAAGTCGGGGTGTGAATCCTCTGTTTTGCACCGCCGACTTATGGGGATCCTCCAGGTCTACTACGCTGATTGGGACGCAGCTATAGAGTATGTCTGCAATGAGCATACGCACCCCCTGGAGGACACTTATTGGAAATCTAGGGTGTGCATTTACATCAGGGATGAAGAGAAGGAAGCATACCAGCTGGACTCAAACTATGTGAGCCCATGAAAGATAGCATAGAAGACGCAGCCGCTGAAGCCTACATGGGTCTCCGTGACCGCCACTTTGACGATATGATGGAGGATCAATATCGATTCCTCCCTCGCCAACATCCTGAATTGGAGTGGGCAATAATGAACCCTAAAGGCATGGATTCTACTACTCAAGTGATGGTACATTTTGCCTGTGAGTTAGTAGAGAAGAATCGACGGCTAGAAGATCAGTTGAATGCACAAGAGGAGTCTCTTAAGAGGTACCAACAAGTGATAGATGACAAAAGGGAGTGCCTCCGCCTGCCAAGGATTTATGAGAAGCTTCCCTATAAACATCACTCATAGGTGTTAGAGTTCCTTTCTATGTAATAAGACGTTAGTAGCGCGGGTCAAGTTGAGTCAAGTCGAGTCTAGTAGTGTGGTGTGAACTTTGGTGTGTCTAGTTGATTATTATTATGTTTATGTGTGAGTTAGATTTTTGTAATGCATGCTGGAACCTTGTGGGCATGTCCACAAGTTCCATAGTTAAGAATATAAGGTTCGAATTAATAAATGAATAGTTGGGTTGGTATATCTTGTTCTTCGGTTTTGTTTTTCAGAGAAGTCTGCTTTTATCTCAATGCCCATTTAAATCTACTCGATAAAAAATTATGAAATTTTTATGAGAATAATGAGACTTAAGTATCTTTCTAATGCCGCTGGAATCACCCTTATATCTGACCTGGTTCGAGAGATATAGCTGTTTCAAGTTGAAGTTTCTGCGCAATCCGGAATCTGGAACAGTTTTGGTTGTGTCCTATTTTTTTATTAACATAACAACATAATATGGGCATGTGATCTGAATAAAATTTGTATATAATTTCTTAAACTTTCCAACCATATAAATAACACCTCTTTTGAATATATGAAACTCAAGATATAACTGTTTTACCAAGCTGCCGATGTTGGAACTCGTCCAGAAAAATTTCAGAATGTATTCTATATCTCTATAAGTGTCTATAACTTTGAACATTTGTGTTGGATGTCAGATGTCTAGAAGAGGAAGAGGCAGAGGTCGTGGAGGTGTTCCCCCAAATCCACCACCACTGCCATCTACTATTGCGCAGCTTCTGGCAGTGCAAACACAACTTATGCAAGCTTTGATGCAGAATCAAAAGAATCATCCAATTGGTGGGGTACCGCATGACAAGCATGGTGAATTTTTGAAGGACCACCCCCCGGTGTTTTCTCATGCCACTGATCCACTAGAAGCAGATGATTGGCTTCGTACAGTGGAGATGCAACTCAACATAGCACAGTGCGACGACCAGCAGAAGGTGTTGTATGCGTCAGGACAACTCCAGGGAGAAGCTCAAGACTGGTGGGAGGCATACGAGTATGGACGTCCCAATAATGCTCCTCCTATCACCTGGCAGGAATTTAGAGAGAATTTTAGATCCTACCACATACCCGAAGGATTGATAGAGCTGAAGCAAGAGAAATCCAGAGCATTGAAGCAGGGGTCTATGTCTGTGGCTGAGTATCATGACAAATTCGCTCAGTTATCACATTATACTCCGAATGAGGTGGCTGATGATGCTGATAAGCAACGCTACTTTCTCAAGGGGTTGTATGATGGTCTACAACTCCAGCTTATGTCCAATATATACCCTAATTTCTAGACGCTAGTGAACCGCGCTATTGTTATTGACAATAAGCGCAAAGAGATGGAGGCTAAGAAGAGGAGGCTTCAGGGACAGGCCTATGGGAGTAATACTTGTCTGTGCACCAATCCGTGGCAAAGCTTCCAGTAGAGGCACCCGAGGCCACCTAATCAGTGGAATCGCAACCCGAACCAGCAGCGTCCACCGTACCAGCAGCAGAATGACAATCAATGCCCCCAATAGTAGAGTGGCTAGTAGACACCATGATAGGGAGCACCTCACAACACTCCCATGAAGACTAGTGTACCTAGCACCCCCAACGTATGCTTTCATTGCGGAGAAGTTGGGCATTATGCTAACCATTGTCCTAGGAAGCAGAATTAGCTAACACCCTAGGGTTAGGACAATAATCATAAAGGAACATCTCAGAAGCCAGCACCCAACACGGGAAAGGTGAATCATGTGTTTACAGAGATAGTGCTTGTGGAACCAGAAGTCATGCTCAATACGTTTGATGTCAATTCCAGTTCTACCAACGTTCTTTTTAATTCTGGAGCTTCACATTTTTTCATATCACAAGCATTTGTTAGAACGCATAGCATACCCTTATGTGCCATGAAAAATCCTATACTAGTAAACTCACCAGAAAGTAGTATGCAAGCTTCTTATCGTTGTCTTCCAACTAGTCTATCTTTCAGGGGGTAGAGTTCAAAGTGAGCCCCATTGTGTTGAGAACATCTGGCATTGATGTGATTCTGGGTATGGATTGAATGAAGCAAAACTGGGCAGTAATTCAGTGTTAGGAGAAGGTAGTTGTTGTGACCACACCGAATGGGGATAGAATCAGTATCGATGTTGTAGTGTAGAAGCAGCCGACAGCCACAGTGAACCAGCTTGATAATAGCGCCAACAAGGACCCAGTAGTGGATGTGTTTGCCAGGTATGCCACCTAACCGTGACATTGAGTTTATTATTGAATTATTACCTGAAACTACACCTATAGCTAAGCGTCCATATAGAATGGGGGTTAATGAATTAGAGGAACTTAAGAAACAAATAAAGGAGTTGCAGGAGAAAGGTTTTATTCATCCTAGTTTGTCACCTTGGGGAGCACCGATTATATTTGTTGACAAGAAGGATGGTACCTAGAGGATGTGTGTTG